AATTAACAATAAAAAATGAAATGGCTATCAGATATATATCAGAAGGTTGAACCCAGGTCCAGGTCCCAAATCATCACTCCTCCACCACTGTGCTTGACCACTGCCTATGTTTAGTTTCCTCTAATGATGGAGGGATATAATGAAAGCAAAAAGCATCTCTCCTTCAGGATCGAAATCATTTATAACCCGTCCTGCGGTTTATTCATCCTTGAAGGCCTTAAAAGTGCCGCCAAAATGTTTTTTTTTATTGTTTTGTCATGAACCTAAACTTTAAACCATCAAACGGAGAATTTTATAGTCACATTTTTTTCTGGTCTGTCAGTGTGGTCTAAACTGCCAAGGGTTGAATGTTTCCAGTTGGGGATAATCTTTCTGTGTCAGACTCAGAGGAAGGTTTTTAGGTTGTGTTTGGTTCAATCCTCATAGAAGTTTACAGATGATCAGTTTTTGAGTGACAGTTCCCCTTCTGGTGAAGTTCCTTCAACGCAGAAAGGTTGAACTTACGTTTTTACAGAACTTTTGCGATGGTCTGGAATCTGTTTTGTGGTCAGGAACAGTTTAGATTTAAAATCATTAGAGTTCAGTTTTGTTTTTCTTGTCCTGATCGTTTCGAAGCTTCCATGAACAGCAGGTCCTGCTCTTCCTTTTTGCTCCAGCAGATTTTATTTCCACCTCTGAGACAGAAGCTGATTCGCTTGCATTAAAAATCAATATCATCATAAAAGTCTGATGAAAGCTTGCAGAGAATTACTTTTCGTCTCAGGTTGCATTTTCAGCAAATCACCAGACTAATAAAATGCAGCCTTTGCGTTGCAGCATTTCAAAGAGAGAGTCTGCAGTGGAGGAGAGGATGTCTGGTTTACGCATCATCATTATGGGCCAGACAGTCGGCGATGAGACGGCTTTAATGAAACTACGACAGGCTGCCTGTCTGGTTTGAATGCATGGAGGATTTTCCTTCCTCATCCTTAGATCTTTCTGCTGGTTTCTGTGCAGAACATCGACATGCAGAACTTCTCGTCCAGTTGGAGTGACGGCATGGCTTTCTGCGCCCTGGTCCACTCCTTCTTTCCCACTGAGTTTGACTACGACGCTTTGTCACCTGCCAATCGCAGACACAACTTTGAGCTGGCCTTTGGGACTGCAGAGTGAGTATGAAGACAAACAATGGCAGGAAATAGAAGCATTTATTTAGGGTTGCCAACGGTAACCAATAGAAGTACCGTTCTCATATTTAGTGGAAAAGGAACGCACTTTGTGACGCATTACTGTAAAAACATTATCAGTAAAAAGCTCATGGAAAATGAAGAACAGGGGCTTGTTGGTTACGGTAATCTTGTTCCCGGAGCCTGTCCTGCTTTTTGACCAATGAGCTAAAAATAAAAATAGGAAAAAGTATTCTATTACGACATAATGTGACATTCAGCTAATGATATTTTTCAGTTTTGGAACTGTAGCCTACATTTATTGCATTAGAGGCACAAATATGTTTACAAGTTTGCTGTTGAAACAAAAATGTGCACTATTTATTTATTTATTGTTTTATATTCGTTATCAAGTGAATTGATGGATAATAATTTGTTTTCCATGTGTTCATGTGACTCACAAATATGCATCTAATTCAATGCAGATTTGAGTCAAATAGTAAAAAAAAAAAATCATTTCACACACAAAGGGAGGCTAAAAAAAATCACCATGCTAGGAGGGGTGAAGGCAACCGGGTCAGCTGGTACGCACAGGAGGCATCCCTTTTTTTCAGGGAGTTAGCTACCCTAATTTGATTATGAAGTCAGTGGAACTGAGTCTTAGATAAAAAAAATAAAAGATGGCGGCGATTCAGAAAACCAAACATCACAAACAGTCACTCCCAGCAGGTTAAGCTGATGTAGGAACCAGATCTGCTCGGGTCCTGCTGCATGCCAGTGACTTTACTCTACATGATTAGCTGTACGTTGCCAGTGTTGGGCAAGCTACTTGTCCAGTGTAGTGAGCTAAGCTATCAGTTACTCAGCAATAAATTAAGCTTCACTA